AAAATAAGTCATTTTTGTTTTTGTACTCATTCTGAATGATTTATTTAGGTTTTTCTTACGACATCTTATGAGGGACAATCATTGATGAAGTGTGTGGGGTGTTGATTTTTATGTGTAACGTCTCATTTTCACAACTAAAAATTTTCATTTTTAAATAAGGCAAAAGTCCCTAATTATAAATCCATTATTAAGAAAAAAACGTTTATTCCAAAATACATTTATCGAAAACCAGAGTAATATAAGAAACGCGGAATCCTCAATATTATTGATAAGTGTGTACAATCATGCCTTCGCCTTCCCACGATCAACGATATAACTTGAAAACATAAACAACTGGGTAAGCACAAAGTTTAGTGAGTTTCCCCCAAAATACTCGATACAACAAACATATTATCATACATAACGAGCCCACACTCATCAGATTGGAATACATTGGCCCAATCAGTCATCAGACTGAAAATGCCAACATGCAACAGGTCCAAGTAGTCATCGGACTGCAATACCCAGGGTTTGTTGGCATGCCGCCTTAACCTAACCGCTCTTCTCGAGCCTCCGTGCTTACGGCTTACAACCGGCCCACACCAGGTATCTTGGCCTACAACATATAGCAGGACCACCTCAACCTATCCCACCACGATATGGTTATCCCACGTAAGAAGTCCTGAGAAAAAACCTAAATAAATCATTCATAAGTACCGAATGAGTACAAAAACAAAAATGACTTATTTTGCAATAAAAAAAATTATTAAGGAGTAAATGTGTAAAAAAATATTAAGGACTAAATGTGTACAAAGTGAGAAATATATTATCCTATTAAGTCATTTTTACCGGCTAACCTGGAGTAGCCGGTCATAAAGACTAAATGTGTACAGTTTAACAAGTTGACGGGGTAAATGTGAACGAAAAAAAAATCAGTGACTAAATGTGTACAAATCAAAAAATACATTACCTTTTTAAGTCATTATCCCTTATTTAAATGATACTCTATTTGTCCCATATTAATAGTTCATGCTTTCATTTTGGTTTGTCCCAAAATAATAGTCTACTTTTAAAATATGTCTTTTTATATATGTCTTTTATCATAATATCCTTCATTATTAGTAAAAGTACCATGAAATTAAATACAACTACCATAGAATTAAATGCAACAAAATGGTAAGACTGTCATTTTATTTAATAAAGTTAATGATAAATAATATTTCGTTAATCTATGCGTTTTTTGTCTGTGAACAATTATTTTGAGACGGAAGGAGTATTATTATATATATATATATATTGGTATAATGCGTGGTTACAACAGATTTCATGATTAACTTTCTATATGTTAGGAATTTATTCGTTTATTTTAAAGGTTTTATGAATGTAAAAAATCAATTGACTCCACGTGTGTCATATGGTATTAAAGTTGAGGTCTAGCACTTTTTGGACTCAATATATGAAGAGTTTGAAAAATTGTCCGTTACTAGGGCTCATGACAGTGGCAGTGACTCTTCCTTGACAACAGCCATCAACTAGCACAAATTCAGCCACCAACTTAGCTTCTAATGGTCAGAAAACGACTTCTTAGCAACCCATACATCTTGGTCTTGGCACAAAGAAGCAAGTAATGACTACCAATTCTATCACTTTTAGGCTATACAGTTCTCTCACTTTTAGGCCATACGGTATTGATGTGAAATGTGAATCTTGTGACTAGAAAAAATCATAGAGGCATATACATCACACACAAATGTTTGTCGTCGAAAGTCATATCACAAATGATAATGACTGGCATTTGGTTTATCATGAAATTTATGACAGACCTTTATGACCTATAATTACGACAAACATACAATTACGGCAAACATAAACAACTACATTTTCCACATATCTTTACGATTGACTTTCAATGTCATAATTAGTAACATTTTTGTAATTATTGACATACATTAAGACTTAAAATCACGACATATATTCTGCACGTTATGATTTTTGATATAGTTTTACAACATACATTTGTATGTCATGGTGTTACACTTACATTTCTAACAAATTATATATATA